TCAAGACCACACTCAGGCTCAATAGTTTTTTAACAGTTACAATTTCCATGTGTCTATGTATAAGTTTTTCCACTTCGAATCTTGGCTTTAAAAAAATTTGAGTCTAAAAACGAGGAATTTGGATATACAATATAAGTACAGCGGAACCTTCTCTAACAGCCACCTATATAAGACAGCCACTTGTACAAACGGCCACATCCCATTTCCCCACTTGCCATTTTCTGCACTATGACACTGTGTAAGACGGTCGCGGGTCTAAAGTGGTAGTTTTTCTCCTCGACATTGGGTAGCTGTCTTAGACAGTTTCGACTGCATTATCAAATTAATTATAGTCACCTCTAGCTCTCAACAGAAAAAATTTGCCGACAATGCATGACCTACTAAAAGACACCCTCTTCCTCCTCTTCCTCCTCCTCCTCCTCCTCCTCCTCCTCCTCCTCCTCAAACGAACATGGTGGGGGTGAAACCAATGCCGCAAAAGAGGTGAACAGAGAAAGAAAGGGAAATCGGTCACAACAGATCCGGAACTACTTATACATCTTTCCCTTCAACAAATTACACTACTTAAGAACTCAGCAGGTTATTTTGTTTTGTGATAACGACATTAACTAACTCTTTAAGGGAGTGGTGAAAACATTATGTCAAATCAACTTGTTTTAGTAAACGTTTTACGGTCCTTGCAAAACAATTAGGTCATAAGTGCCGAAAGTTAGAGGTGTTACGAGAGGGTAACAAACACCAAAAAGAGAAGAGATAAATACGATAGGTGTTTGATTGAAAAGAAGGAGCAAACCACACCAGCAAGAGCAACTGCCAACCACCCACTTGTCCGATCAGCAACAAACCAAACAGGATGCTGCATGAAATTTCGAACCCTCATTCACGAATAATATATTTCATAGCATGCGTGACGTATACCTCTTCAAGTTCCAGATTCTATTTTTAAAGAAAACAGAAAAGAAACATCTGAATGAACAACGAAGTTTATGTCCCAAAACAGTGCGTCTTCGAGAGTTGTTGAATTACCTAAATGTGCGTCTTTAATTACTTAAGACACTGAACGGGGGGGGGGGGGTGGGGGGGGGGGGGGGCTGCACGTGCGAGTGCTTTTGTGTTTTGCATAATGTTGTACATGTATTATAATGAGAGTAGAAGAGAGTGGGGATACGCCACGGGGGTTATTGTAAGGTCCTTGGGATGCGCACATCTTATCTGGGTATACATCATGGAGGTTAGATCTATAATAAACCCTTTTCTAAATTGTATGATGTCTGTAAGTTTTACAGGCCGCACAGGATGAACAATATTATATAATGCTCGTGCTTAACCTTACATGCTCACTTAACCGACACTTGTGCTGTTGTAGTTACGCTCGTTGTATTGCGAACTGAAGGCTGTATAAATCCCCCATCCCCCATCCAAAAAAAATAATTAATAAATAAACATTTCTTTTGTTGCTGTTCGTGTTGCTTTCTCTCTTGTTTCGCTTTCATGTTGTTTATTTATTTATTCATTTATTTATTTATATGTTTATTTATTTATTTGGTTGCATTAACTCTTTGGGGGTGTCGTGGACACATTAGATTTATGTCCAGACTATTCAGTTTAGCAAGCGTTTGGTGGCACTTGCAAAACAATTAGGTCATATAAGTGCCGACGATAAGTGTTGTAAGAGAGTAGCAAACAAAAAAAAAGGAGGAGAGATAAGGACGATAGATGTTTGATAGGGAAGTAGGAGCAAACCACACCACAGCACCCAACAGTCTAACAGTTTAGTACCCCCAACGTAGGTAACTTGTAAACAGCATACCATTGAATCCGTAGTGCGATTACTGCAAAAACAAACATCAAATACTTAGTCTACTACTCGTGTTTCCATCACTTGGTAAGGCAGACAGAAACAACAAAGGGAAAGAAAAGAAGTAGAACTTGTACTTGTAACCAATGAAGCCCTCCAACAAGCCGTGCACACAGAGGAACAGACGCAGAAAGTGGAATGAGGTAATAGGGAAGGTTCCTTGACTTCACTCATGTTGAAAAACATCCGCAACGGAATCACGGATATTCCAAACTGACATACATGTATTATTATTGTTAATATTGGACGGTCTGGACTTTAACTCTTTCCCTAACGAAGAGGTCCTAAAACAATAATATCCGTCCTACTCATCCTCTTCATTTTCTTCTTCCTCCTCCTCCTCTTCCTCCTCCTCCTCCTCCTCCTCCTCCTCCTCCTCCTTCTCCTCCTCCTCCTCCTCCTCCTCCTCCTCCTCCTCCTCCTCCTCCTCCTTCTTCTTCTTCTTCTTCTTCTTCTTCTTCTTCTTCTTCTTCTTCTTCTTCTTCTTCTTCTTCTTCTTCTTCTTCTTCTTCTTCTTCTTCTTCTTCTTCTTCTTCTTCTTCTTCTTCTTCTTCTTCTTCTTCTTCTTCTTCTCCAGGTGTCAGATCTGGAACAGACATTGACGATAATGGTATCCCATTCCTCCCTCTTGTCTGTCTCGATCAGCTCGGTTTTTCTCTTTGTGTTATTTGTTGCAAAGTTGCTCAGGCCATAATATGTGTATGTTGCTCTTTGTCTTTCTCTGCTTTTCTTTCCCTCTGTGCTTCCACACCACATCAGTTTCTCAAGTCCGTTTGGTGTATTTCTGAGGCCAAACAATCTACTTTGTCCATCTGTTGGTTCTGATTATAGATCTTTCATAACCCGCCATTTAGAGCACTAACCAATGTGTAGTAAATGGCACTGATTAGAGATGGTATTTAAAGGGCAGTTATTGGACGTTATTTCATCACTTAAAGTGGGCATATTATATCAATCAAGTTAAACATAAAAAGAGCAGAGTACATTAAGATGGTGACAGGAAAAAATAAACATAGACTAAATCTAGTCTTCGTAAAAAGAGTATATTTTGTAGGAACCATAGCACTCTGTAGACGATGGACGGGTTATAAAAACAAAAAGATGAAAGAGACCACATTGCTTGCTTTTGTGGAGATCCGGTGTACTATAGCGAAGGCATAAACATACATCACAAAGTAATCATTCAATACAAACTACACCCAGTAAATCGGAACTAAAGAAAGCAGACTCATCAGAGAGCTGGAGACTTCCCTTTGGCTTGACCAACTGTTTAGACAAATAGAGCTTCACCTTTCCACCCAACTCGGGCCTCTCCCCTTCCCCCTTCTCTTACCCCCCCCCCCTTCTCTCTCTCTCTCTCTCTCTCTCTCTCTCTCTCTCTCTCTCTCTCTCTCTCTCTCTCTCTCTCTCTCTCGCCACTTTAAGGCCCATGTATACTTGATGGTCAACCCTTCTATATGGGTGGCGTCGGTAGCCTGGTGGTTAGGCTACCGGACTCGTAATCGTGAGGTTGCGGGTTCGGGGGTTCGAGCCTCAGCTTGGTCCGACGTTGTGTCTTTGGGAAAGGCACTTTACACGAATTTCCCATTTGGCTCGGTCCTTTCAGAGATGGACGTTAAACTCGGAGGCCCGCCTCTTAAATAACCTAATAGTGTTAATAGGAGCGTTAAACCTATACAATTTTTCCTTCTATATGGCTGTGAATGCTGGACAATCACTAAAGACAGTGAAAATAAAATATAGGCAACAGAAACGTGGTTTCTCACGACACTGTTAAGAAAAGAAATCAAATGAGGTAGTGCTTGATGAAGCCCACATGGGACGCTCATTGTTTAAAACAATTAGGAAACGACAGTAAATGCAGTTTTTAGGACACCTGAATAGACATAAAAGGGTCTTGAACGTCTAGCTCTCACTGGCAAAATTGAAGACAAACAAGGCAGGGGTAGGCCTAGAGCAACCTCTTTGGGGAACCTAAACAAATGAACGGGGACAGATCAGGGAACATAGATTTTATAAGAGCATCCGAGCAAAGGAATGAATGGAGAACTATGATCGCCGATGTATGTTGCAGATCTGGCTCTGGATGATGATGATTCTTGAACAGTGCTCTCAGTGGTTAAAGCCCTTTGAATTGTTTTCTCTTATATTCTTTCTTGCCCACCCGCCCCCTCCCTTCCCCCCCCCCCCCCCCAACCATACTTGAAAGTATGTATTTTGTTCAAAACCACAGAACCTCGATCTACACGTTTTGTCCAATATCGACAGAACATCAGGTTAGATCTACACATTTCTTGACAAATTCTTTACAGGAAGATATATTAATTTGGCACATAATCACCACAAATTAGAAAGTCAAATTTGTACAAAATCACCATGCATAAATTTGCCAAATTTACACCAAATCTCCACAGGTAAATGTGACAATGTTGCATCACATCTCCACAAATAAATATTATATTATACTAATATTGCACAAAATAACACCCACAATGGCGGTGCTACTGACTGAAGTGTCTTTAGGCCATTCCCAAAGGGGGGACATAAACATAAACATGTTCTTATGCACCGTAGATTTGTAAATGGGCTGATTCATCAATGTCGTGCTCATAACTGTGCCTGAACTGCAACAGGGAACTGCTGCTTTTTCTTTCCTAATCCTTACTATCGTCATTTTCCCTTTACTTCTTTTGTATGTTTGTCACACTCTCGTGACCAGCTATTTCCGGGGTGCCTTGATAGTCGAAGTAGGTTTTGTGCTGTTGAAGCTAGAGAGGTGATCAGAGTAAGCCTGATTCCTTGTAAGGACTTCTCTGTCGACAGCCACCCCTTGGCGCTCATATGACTTTATGCAGTTTCGAGCGCCATAGAACCTCTATTAACACAAACAGCACAAAATGCAGTTACAAGAGCTGTACAACTTTTACAAATCTGAAACTGGTCTGAAAATAAACCTGTGAGTGTAAATGTGTACAAAATCACCCAAAACTCACCTGACCAAACAGCAAAAGATCACTCACAAAAGCAAGTAATCCCGGAACACACGAAAGCCAAAATAATAATTATTATTAAACGCCCGCCTATGCAGAGCATGATGCGGAACGGGACTATGTCTACACAACAGGTATTAGGCCTAACTTACCCAACAGTTGCTTCTCCTAGACAGTTGTGAAGCACGCGTGAAGTCGATCACCATTTGACCGTGACGTCACGAATTTGTTTTCCGTGCCTGTCTCCTCAACGTCCGGGTTGGAGCGAAGTACACGCAAATAATTCTGTCTGTGGAAGTGAAAGACCATACAGGTAGATATTTATATATCTAGTAATTGATCTTCTTTTTTTTTAAGTCCGTGTGTGTTTTACGCTCCCGTAGACATTATTTAAGATCAGTTTGGAGTCGGACTCCGACCATACCTGTCAAGAGCTAGCGAACTGAGAGAGAGAGAGAGAGAGAGAGAGAGAGAGAGAGAGAGAGAGAGAGAGAGAGAGAGAGAGGGCAGAGAGAGAGATAGAGGGA